TAAAGGTCTAGGAAATGCAAAATATCAATAAAAAAACACACTAAAGTAAATGTTAGGGTAAACTAACGCAATGAATTACCCAAATGTTTGATAAAATATAAAAGACAAGATTGAACCAAGTAAATAGATACGCAACATGCTAAAATTTAAATTTGCGTGCCACTATGAAATGGCGACAAACTTCTGAACCCTATATTTTCTATAGGCGACGTTATAAAAGGTCATCATTTTAGTGTGATGGAGGAAGTCTTGAGCTAGAATTACTGCTCTCACTCCAGCGTGCACAGCGATATGTAACATCTGTCGAGATTTTCGCACGTAGACGCCCTGACATGTATGTTTATGTTTGTATGTGTCTATATGTGGGGGTGGGGGGGCTCAAATTTTTTTTTGGGGGGGATGTATGTGCTTGGGTGTAACTTTATTTTTTGTAATAAAAAAAAAAGTCCCCTATGTGATGATTTTTAGGTGACAGGTTCTCTTTATTGAGACATGCAGGGTCCCTGCATGTCTCCTTTGGCCACCACTCAATGTATTGCAATGCAGATCACATTGCAATACAATGCTGCTTGGCTATGCTAGCCGAGAAAGTGATAGCGATGACCCGGAAGTGATGTCACACAAGTCACATTCCGGGTCACAGAAAGGAAGGAGAGAAAAGAACAGAAGCTCGCGTATGTGTGTGTGTGTGGGGGGGGGGGGGGGCTTGGTTACCAGGGGCTGTTGAAGCATTTAGACGGCAGCTCAGCTGCCCAAATGCTCCCAACTGACAGGCAGGAGTCTACCTGTAGTTTTATACACAATCCCGATGGCTGCAGCTACTGACGTGTATAATCCCCCCCTTCCCGCTGTCAGGTCCATACGAAGAATTCCAGGTATGGATACTTTTAAATAATAACTTTGGTCCACCTTGGACCAATGTAACTATGCATATACTATGACTGTAGGATCCCTCGAGAAGCTGGAAATCACCCCTACTACAGCAATTTCCAATAGCTTTTGGGTCCCAAGTGGCTGATCTGCTGCATTGTGAACATAGCCGGTGCCTGCTCTGCACGGGTGCAATTCAAAGCATGCTTTGCAATTCCTCAATGAATGCAAAGCATCCTCTGATTGAACAAGGTGGAGAGCATGATGTCACTGCCCCATCTCTCCAGCCCGTCCAAACAGAGAATGCTTTGCATTCATTGAGAAAAAAGCAGAAAAGTCTCTTAATTGCACCTGTGCTGAGCAACCGACCTCCTGTAACCAAAATGCATCAGGGCAACCCCTTGGCATGGGACCCAGAAGTTAGTAAAGATCACTGGAGTTGTGATATCTACTACAGGGATTTCCAGCTACCAGGGAGATCCCAGAGGTTAAAAGTTAAACATTTGGTCTTAAAGGTTATCATACAACAGAGCATAGTTGGGCTGATTAACTATAGCAAGCATTCTCATTAATATGTTTTCAGCAGCCTATACAAAAATTATGTTCACAATGCAGCAGGGCAGGTGCTCGGGACAGGACCCAGAAGCTAGTAAAGATCACTGTAGCAGAGGTGCTTGTTAGAGCCCATTCACGCTTGTGCTACTTTGTGAAGTCGCACTCCATGTTTCCCAATAAGTACCATTCATATCTGTGTGACTTCAAGTCATGGCGACTTGAAAGTAGCTCCTGCACTACTTTGGTCTGACTTTCATGCCACTTGAGGACTATAGACTTCAATGTAAACCCTCCAAAGCTGCATTAAAAATACCACCTGAATGTTATACATATGACTTCTGTGCGACTTTGTTCAACAAACAATCATCCTTGGTCAAAGCCAAAATCTCACCAAAGTTGCACTCATCCAACGTTGCATCAAAGCCACGTCAAAGTTGCAATGAAAGTAACACTATTTTGAAGTCGCACAACTGTGCCTGGACGAGCCTTACAGTGATTTGCATCTTCTAGAGCAGGGGTCACCAAACTAAGGCCCTCCAGGTGTTGAGGAACTGCAAGTCCCATGAGGCCTTGCAAGACTCTGACAGCCACAGGCAAGACTCCCAGAGGCAGAGGCATGATGGGACTTGTAGTACTTCAACAGCTGGAGGGCCATAGTTTGGAGACCCCTGTTCTAGAGGGATCCCACAGGTATGGTATATACCAGTGTTTCTCAATTCCAGTCCTCATGGACCCCCAACAGGTCATGTTTTCAGGATTTCCATTATTTTGCACAGGTGATTTGATCAGTTTCACTGCCTTAGTAATTACCACAGCTGTTTCATCTGAGGGAAATCCTGAAAACATGACCTGTTGGGGGTCCATGAGGACTGGAGTTGAGAAACACTGGTATATACATACAGGGGCAGACTGACAACTCATGGGGCCCCCCGGGCAATAGGAGATCATGGGGCCCCTGTGTCCTTGCCCAAACTCAAAAAAGCCTATGAAAAAGGTTCCAGGGGCATCTCATGGGGCCCCTTACTGACCCCGGGAACTCCAAATGGTCAGTCCGCCCCTGTATACATACCTACATTGGCCAAGCTGATGGAATCCTTGGAATCCTTCCTTAACTCCTTAATTACCATATAGTTAAAAATGTTCACAATTTGTTTCACATATACCTGACAAAATCAGTACATTTTCTGCAATATATACAAATAGCAGCATGTGCTATAACAATCTGTGACAACTTTTCAAATTATTGATTTTATATAGTGCAGTTAAATATCTGTGAAGGCCATAGCAATCAGCATGATATAAAATTTCCCTTTTTAAACTGCACTGGAAAATGATTAGCTCGTTGTTGGTTATTATAAAGAGACATTCTATCCAGTTTCTCTAAATTAGACCCATAGTTACATGGTTTGTGCTGAATGATCAATAGTAAATACTACACTGTTTAATAAGATAGTTTGGTGGTGTCGTTTAGTGGGTTATATTTAGTATTGTATAGTATGTCAAGCTACAAAGATGCCATTTTTGTTTTATTTATATAGTTGGCGAAGTAATATATGTTGCTGTTCTAATGACGAGCACAAGATGGCACCACCGTATGTAATACAGTAATGAAAGCCTAGCTGTCAACCACAATGCACCTGGTGTGCTATTCTGAGCAGACAGAGTTGCATCAGTATTTGGAAAATTATCCACTGCTGAATGTTAGTTCATTAAGGGATGGGTGCAGATGATCCTGTTAATTGATGATATTATTCATAGAAAGTAGCAGGAGAATGTTGCCTGAACTGGTTGACATTACTGGATCATTTTTGTGCCATGCTCTCTGGAGGAAGGAATAAACAATTGTATCTTTCAGCATAACCTTGCCTGTCACTTTTTTTTTTTCTTCACGGTGGGAGGAGATGTGTTTGTACAAGATTACTCATCAATTGTACACCGTGCACAGCCTGCAATTTATATACTGTACATCTGGAAAGGGAATCCCCCAGAAAACATTATCACTTCTGTGATCATTATGCTGTCAGTAAAACAGAATAGGTAAAGCATGCTGAATATGCAAGAGTACAAAATTAGAATTTGTCTTGGGCAGTGAAGGATCTGCACATCTTATGAACCTGGCAAGTACACTGCATACATTATATACCATAGATATTTTACATATAATTAAATGTCAACTGATATTGGCATGGAGGAGGACCTGTGTACCTGTGGTACTTCACCCAGGGTGATACAACCCATGTGTCTGGTGTGTTATGTAGTAGGGGGGGGGGTAAATTCAATACAAAAAAGTAATCAAAATGCCAAAAAAAAAGCTTGATGGTTCTAATGCTGACATATGATAACAGATTGGGACATATGAGGAGATATCCATGATCTACTCAGTCCAATGTAGATCTAATTTTCTAGCTATCCAACTCAAACCTCCTTATCATAATGTATGCACCAAGGCATTCTATTGCAACGGTGGTGTTGCAATCCTTTTTCAAATGTGCTGCATGCCATTTTGAAAGGATCCCATGCAACTTACATGAATGGTACGCTCAGGGCAACACATTCAAAGGTGTAGCACATTAGTGTGCAAACCTTATTCTCAAATTATTTCTGTGATTTTTGAAAATAATATATGTACACCGATCAGCCATAACATTTTGACTAGCCACCTAATATTGAGTAGGTCCCCCCTCTTACCACCACAACTGTCCTAACCTGTCAAGGCATAGACTCCCAGAAGTCATGCTGTGGTAACCGGCACAAAGTCATCAGTAGCAGCTGCATTCTCTGGCTTGCCGTAATAGTGCATCCTGGTGCCATCTCTTCCCCAGGTAAGGGATGCATACACACCCAACGAGACCACTTTCTTCTATTGCTCCATAGTCCAGTTCTGATCCTCACAAGCCCATTGTTGGCACACTTGTCTGTGGGCATGGGTCAACATTACACTCTGACTGGCCTGTGGCTACACTCCCCCATATGATATATATATATATATATATATATATATATATATATATTCACACACTATATACTGTGTATGTGTAAGTATTGGGACACCTGCCTCCTTTACATGCACATGAATTTTAATGGCATCCCAGTCTTGGTCCGTAGGGTGCAATATTGAGTTGGCCCACCCTTTGCAGCTATAACAGCTTCAACTCTTCTGGGAATGCTGTCCACAAGGTTTAGGAGTGTGTCTATGAGAATATTTGACCATTCTTCCAGAATCGGATTTGTGAGGTCAGGCACTGATGTCGGACGAGAAGGCCTGGCTCGCAGTCTCCGCTCTAATTCATCCCAAAGGTGTTCCATCGGGATGAGGTCAGGACTGTGCAGGCCAGTCAAGTTCCTCCACCCCAAACTCACTCATCCATGTCTTTATGGAACTTGCTTTATCCACTGGTGCGCAGTGATGTTGGAACAGGAAGGGGCATCCTCAAACTGTTCCCACAAAGTTAGGAGCATGAAATTGTCCAAAATGTCTTGGTATGCTGACACCTTAAGAGTTCCCTTCACTGGAACTGAGGGGTCAAGCCCAACCCCTGAAAAAACAACCCCACACCATAATCCCCCCTTCACCAAACTTTACACTTGGTAAAGTACCGTTCTCATGGCAACCGCCAAACCCACACATGCCTATCAAATTGCCAGACAGAGAAGCATGATTTATCACTCCAGAGAACATGTCTTTACTGCTCTAGAGTCCTGTGGCGGTGTGCTTTACACCGCTGCAACCAACATTTTGGTGATGTAAGGCTTGGATGCAGCTACTCGGCCATGGAAACCCATTCCATGAAGCTCTCTACACACTGTTGTTGTGCTAATCTGAGGGCGACACGAAGTTTGGATGTCTTTAGCTATTGACTCTGCAGACAGTTGGTGACTTCTGCGCACTTCAGCTTGCACTGACCCCGCTCTGTCATTTTACGTGGTCTACCACTTCATGGCTGAGTTGCTGTTGTTCCCAGTTGTTTCCACTTTGTTATAATACCACTAGCAGCTGACTGTGGAATATTTAGTAGCAAGGAAATTTCACAGATGGACTTATTGCACAGGTGACAACCTATCACGGTACCACGCTTGAATTCACTGAGCTCCTGAGAGCGACCCATTCTTTCACAAATGTTTATAGAAGCAGTCCGCATGCCTAGGTGCTTGATTTTATGTACCTGTGGCCACTAAAGTGATTGGAACACCTGAATCCAATGATTTGGAGGGGCATCCCAATACTTTTGACAATATAGTATATATATATATAAATATATATATATATATATACACATACAGTATATATATATATATATATATATATACACATACACACACACGAGACGCGCTCAAGTCAAACTAGGACTTTTAGTTTTACATGTATGTAGCACTACCCCCTTAGGAGTTTGCTAGAAGATTTAGGCCCCCTATAGTCCTGCACAGCCAGGCAACATGCATTTTCACAGGTTTGCATCCAGAGTCAGAGATCGGTCCTTGAGCTTTGGTTTTGTTGTTTTTTATTTAGGGGTTTTGAACTGGGACAGGGTTAGGGGTGTACAGGATGCCCAAGGAAACTGGTGAACTGAGAACAACTTCCTGGAACTATTTACAAGCCTTCTCTGCAGACCCCAGACCCTAGATGAACTTCTCCTCCCCACCCAGCAATCTGAAGGTATCCTTGAACAGGGGATCCGGTTCCTGTCAGTTTAAGAGATGAACAGTCACTGGCAGGTGGCTAACCTGGTTTCCCAACAGAGTGCTCCTTCCCCTATCCTCCCAGGTGCAGGTGTACTCACTCAGATCCTCTCCTGTACCACTTGTGGGTTGGTGGCTGCTACCAGGCCTATCAGCTGGGCCGCGTGTTCCCTATCATACAGGTGGTTCTCTTTCAGGGGGCCTGTGAGCTCTGAGCTTTCCTCATTTCCAACTCCAGGCCTGCAGGTAGGTCTCATCCCACTGGGCCCCCGTACACAGCCTCCTTCCTTCGGTCTTACATCCTCCTCTCTGTCTTCCACCCAAACTCTCCAGCTCCCTTCTCCTCTCTTCTGCTACCAACACTTTTAAATGTGTCCAGCCTCTTGTCAAACTTTCTGCTGGGGATTGACTAGGACTCCTCAGAAATGCAAACCAGCTACTCCTCAGATCCACCCACTGACTTCTAGGGCCTCAATCCAAAGCCCTAGAGCAGGGGTAAATTCCAGAGCAGCTGGACTGCAAAGCATCTCAGCACATGACCACAGTTTGACCTTCTGGCTATTACACCCAGGCTGCTACTCAGCCTTCCTTACTGACAATCAAGATTCTAGCTCCCCTAGCTAAACCAAGAGAGTGCTACATGTATAAAAAAGGGATGCTAGAGTAGTGGTACTATACAGAGTAGTAAGTGGCATGTGAATCCTATTACTGATAGGCAGTGCACATGTCGCTGGACAGTCCAGAGACCGTTAAGCAAGATGACATACAACAGTGTTAGTGCGTGCATGGAGCAACTTGTCATGATGAAGTTTCTTGTGAATGAAGGCGTAAAGCCCCAGATATCTACAGAAGACTTCAAGCACAGTATGGTGATTAAACACTCAGACACAGTAGGACATTGGAATTGTGTAAATGTTTCAAAGATGGCCATACGTTCATCAGTGATGAACCTGGCCGTGGTGGTTCCCAGCCCATAGCAGTCACTCCTGTGAACATTCAGTGCGTGGGACACCTGATCCTGGATAATTGACGCATAACCTGTTTTGAAATTGCACAAGAGACAAATCTTTCTGTGGGAACAGTGAACACAAACGATGACAAAGTGAAGCAGGCTGTCCTAGGATGGTTCAGGAGTACAGACAAAGAGAGAGAGAGAGAGAGAGAGAGAGAGAGAGAGAGAGAGAGAAAGACTGTATATACCTGGTATGCCTCCCTCAGATCTGTATTTAATAAGGAGGTACCATGCTGACCATCAAAGTACATTGAGTTTTTATCAGGGGGCATAAGGCTACCACTGACAACCAGTGCCATGGCACAATTTGTAAATGGGCACAAAAGGTCTCCTCTAAAGCAGCTATTATCAGGGGTGCATTATAGGATGATGGCCATCAATTCTGAGTGTTGGGTGTTGCAGAAACGGGTCACTACCTGTCCCAGGATTATATGGAGCCCTGCATAGAGATGCAACTTATCAACAGGTTTTAGCAAACCTGTTCATTTTTTCTAATAGGGTTTACCTACATTAGGCTTTGAGTCTTGTCTTGCTACTCTTTTTTTGGTATGACCTTCTTCATGACGTTTTCTGGAAAGTTGTCAATTGTTTTTGTTGAGTTTTGGCTTAATGCTTGCTCTGTATCATCTACTGGGAAGTTTTCAGCTCTTTCACTGTGCACTGGCATCCTGGTTTGCTGCTCCTTCAGGTAGACCCTCTTTTGGAACTCCAATGGAAGGTTGTCATTTCTTTTCTAGTTCACAGCACATTCACTTCTAGCTTGCTAGAATCTCAGATTACAGCTCTTTTAGTTTGACTTGCTCTGTGATTTGCCCTGCAAGGGTAAAGTAGAGTCCTGACTTGGTTTGCTGCTCTATCATGCTATGACGAACTCTACTGTCATTGTTATCCCTTTGAAAATTAAAGTTCTGACTTCACTTGCTGTGTTCTGTAGGTAGGAGCCACTCTGTGAAAGTTTTCACTTTTTCAATGATGGTTGTCACAGCTCATCTATAGCGCCATACAAAACCAATGACTTCATGGATTATTGGATTTGCAAGGTGGAACAGTGGCAGGAATTAACCCAGTTTCCCATAAGGTTTCTCTTCTGTTCAACCTTCAACCTTAGCCATCAACTCCCCATGCATACACCAAAAAAATTTCATTTTGGAGATTTAATGATTCACAGAATTCCCTCTTTTACACAAAATATTTTCATATATAATTTGTCCTAACCTTGCTTGGTTTATTTTGGCAATATGTGAGTTAGCATATTTCGAATGATATTTTGGGTATTGTATTCTGAATTTCTGCTGACATTTTGGGAAAGAATATGTAGTTGACAAGTGGAAAAACAGCCTCTTTGTCCTGTAGGTAAATGGTAAATACAGCGCTGCATACTCATACACCTTGATATATATAAAGAACTGAATAAACTGAAAGCAGAGCTACCAGGAAGCTAACCATTTTAGCACCAATTGTACAAATGTGTGCTTCAGTCACCTGTAAGCTGACTTGGAAACGCATTCCTCATATGAATACTCCATATATAACCTATATAGGCAAGTAAACCTAGTAGAAAATGGATTCTGATTCATTGCTATGGCTACTGCACTTTGTACTTTTTCTCTTTGACTGTTTTAATGAAACCACTTGAAAGACTTGAAGGCTAATAAAGCCAGCCTTTCCAGGTAATGTGACCTAATATATTGCAGTTACATGTATTACTTCATTTAATACTGTAAAAATAAAATTCTACAAAATGTATTCAGTAAGCATTAAAAAGACCAAAATTTAGGTCTGTAACTGTGGAAGCAAGTGTAATGACATTCATTCTTCTGATTGGATGTTTTAGGTTACTAAGTATCCTTATCTGGCAAGAAGCAATGTTTAAAGCTGGAACTCCATGCTGGAGAAGACGTTACTCTTGCAGTGAAGCCCCCTCTGTACTGCAAAGTTTAAATTCTTGTTTGGTCTTGAGATAGAAAGTACAATACTAATCCTAATACTCACTAACCTTCAGAGCTCCAAGGATGGGGGGTAGGCATGGCATCCTCATGTACAACATAGGACTGTTGGTCCTGAGCTGTACGTTACCATTTCCAAAATCTATGACCAGTTGGCCATCAAAGAAGATTGGCTTTGGGGGACCGGTCTTGCAAAGAGGAGAAACACTGCAGGAGTGAGGGATACGGTAAGTATTCAACCTTATTTCATACCTGATAAAGCAAGTATTGCGGGGGGGGGGGGGGGGGGGGGGGGGACAAGGTTAACTTTTATCTCCAGCCTCATGTTCAGCTTTAAAATACAGTACACCATAACATCCCAGCAGCAAAAATCCTTTAGGGTCTATCAATACCAGCCCCTGTGTTACAAAGATGAAGAGTGATAACTGCAGTGTTGATGCATGGACCATGGCACATTGCGCTGTTCACTTTTTTTAACAAACTTTATTAAAATGTTGCACAGTGACAAAGCGACGTGGTGGATTGCCTCACACTACACTGTGCTGGAAAAAAGAACAGCCTGCCATATTTAATTTCAGGGCACACCACCACCACAACCTATGGTGGGACAGTACTAGGATATCTGCCAATTGCAGTCCCACCACAAACACGGTCCTGTGGTGGGTTCAGTACTAGGATATCTGCCCATTGCAGTCCCACCACAACACGGTCCTGTGGTGGGTTCAGTACTAGGATATCTGCCCATTGCAGTCCCACCACAACACAGGTCCTGTGGTGGGTTCAGTACTAGGATATCTGCCCATTGCAGTCCCACCACAACACGGTCCTGTGGTGGGTTCAGTACTAGGATATCTGCCCATTGCAGTCCCGACACAACACGGCAGTACTAGGATATCTGCCCACTGCAGTCCCACCACAACACGGATCCTGTGGTGGGACAGCACTAGGATAGCTGCCCATTGCAGTCCCACCACAACACGGTCCTGTGGTGGGACAGTATTAGGATAGCTGCCCACTACAGTCCCACCACAACACGGATCCTGTGGTGGGACAGCACTAGGATAGCTGCCCACTGCAGTCCCACCACAACACGGTCCTGTGGTGGGACAGTACTAGGATAGCTGCCCATTGCAGTCCCACCACAACACGGATCCTGTGGTGGGACAATACTAGGATAGCTGCCCATTGCAGTCCCACCATACCTGATCTGAATGGGCCCTTATTGTTATGCTCACTCTTGAGAAAAGGAGAAATATGTTTTCTTGATATAGTTTACCAGAATTTACAAAACATTATCTCTACACTTCTCAAATTAGAAGAAATACACTGTGGGGATGATTTGATAAAATTGGAGAGAGCAAAATCTGGTGCAACTGTGCATGGTAGTCAATCAGCTTCTAACCTCAGCTTGTTCAATTAAGTTTTGCCACAATAACCTGGAAGCTGATTGTATTTTTATGTAGAGCTTCACCAGATTTTGCACTCACCAGTTTTAGTAAATCAAGCCCCCTGCTTTCTA